AAAAAAAAATTAAGTGTAAAAAAAAAAAAAAAAAAAAAAAATACAAGAAAAAATAAAAAATTGTTTTTTATTTTTTTTAATTATAATTACTAATAACTTCCTAGATAAAAAATAAGATTAATTAAAATCAATTTGAATAAATAAATAATTATGATAGCACAATGCAATTGCAATATTTTTTAATTAATTTATTGTTTATTTTTAAACAAATTCATTCCGTTTTAATATTGTATGATAACATTAATGCATTTCTTTACGTTTTTAATTAACTAATTCAATCTACTAATATTTATTCATTTTCACATTCAATATTATTCATTGTTTTATCACCATATGTATTTGGTATCGTTATTATTCTATGAACGAAAATTATAGTGACGACAAACACGCGGAAATAGACCGAGACAGACAGTTTGTCTAGAATGCTTATTGCATTTCAGTACTGAAATAATACTATACAAGACAAAAAAAAATTATAAATACTTATATAATAATTTTAGATTTATTTTGGGCTCGTTTTTAAATGTTTTATATAATGAAAAAAAAAGGAAAAAAACAAAAAATTATTTCCTTCTGACATTTGCATTGAATTTAATAACAATAAAGCAGTATGATAGCAATACGAATATTATATATTAATGCTGTCGATATTTTGTTTTAATTATTTTAAAATATATTTAATATGATTTTTTTAATTATATTTTTATAATAAAAAAATCCTTTGATATTTTTTATCATTTTCCAAGTATCTAAATCCAAGAATCTCTATAGGATGTCTTGGAAATAATTTGATGATAAAAAATAATTTTTTAAAAAAGGGAAAATAAATATGATAAGTTATCTTTACATAGAATCAATAGCAAAATTAATTATATTATAATATTAATCTTGTTTTTAAGAAAGAGCAAAGTACTTTATACAGTTTGTCTCGCTTGATGTTATTATTCACAAGAAAAAAAATCGTATCATTATCAATCATTTATTATCCAAAACAAAATTATTATTATAATTAAATGTCTCACTACATAATTTTCAATAAAATTTCTCTCGTTTTTAGAAATCTCTAATTAATCAAAATAATGTTAACATTCAATTATTTTTAATCAATGCGATTTATCTTTTATAAACAACTAAAATCTAACTCCTCAAAACCTTTTTTTAAGCGATATTGATATAAATTTCATAAAAATCTAACTATATTAAATATTTCAATATATTTCAATGATTTGATAACTGATAATATAGGATATCTTAGAAATAATTTATGGTAAATAATCAAAATCACGATGATATTTCGCTAGTCAGCTAAATCAATTTCTGATTAATTTCCAGGTATCATATATTTCGATTTTCAGATTAATATCACTTCTGATATTTTTTTATTTATTAAAATACCATGTACTAATGATTTTGTTGATTAATGACCAATTTTTGAGAAGAATATTTATCGAATCTAAATCATTAGTGAAAAAAGATTTAAATTTAAAATATAATCTATCTAAATTTAAAATAGATTCTTAATTTTCTTTACAAAGAATAGACATTCATTTATAAAGATATTTTATCAATACTCAAGATAAAGTCAATAGATAGAGATTACGAGTTATAATAATTTCTTCTTGCTAAAAAAACATATTAAAAATAAAATATTATAACGCACAAAGAATGACGATTTAACATAGCAGCACAAGTTAAAATTATGCTCGTTAATTTTTCACCATTCGTTAATGTTGACATTTATATTCGAGGAAAAAACTATTTTCAATATATAAATTGTGCAATGATTACTAACATTTTATCTTGTGCATATATATTGTGTACATTTCTATTACAAGATCAGTTTAATGGAAAATATTGATTACCACTACTTAAAGAATTTATATATATACAAATATATAAAAGAATCTAGTTGCAATTATTGTGAAAAATTATTTCTTTTAAGTCATTGGCTTATAATACAGAATATCCTATATATACTTAAAAGTAAACGTGTGATTAAACGAATAAAAATTATTTTAACATTAAAAAATGACATTTCATATATCAATAATTTTTAAAATTATCATTTTAAGTTAAAATACAAAAAGATTCTTATAATATACACAATATATAATTTTTAATATTATTTATTTTTTTTTATAATAATGCTCTATAATATTTTTTATAATAATGTTCATAATCTATTATCAACAAATATTAAAAATATCTTTATTTACTTTGTTCACCATCATATCTTTAATTGATTCTTACTATTTTATTTTTTTTCTTTTTTTCTAACT